CTGTCTCAATGATTTTGACTACTTCAAGTAGCTCATATAAATGAAATCATGCAGTATTGGTCTTTTTGTGTCTGGCTTATTTCACTTAGCATAATGTCTTCAAGGTTCATCCATGTTGTATCATATATCAAAATTTCCTTCCTTTTTAAGGCTGAGTAATATTCCATTGTTTGTATATATTACATTTTGCTTATTCATTCATCTGTTGATGGACATGGGTTGCTCCCATGTTTTAACTATTGTGAATAGTGCTGCTATGAATATGGGTGTACAATATCTCTTTAAGGCCCAGCTTTCAATTCTTTTGTGTGTATACTCAGAAATGGAATTGCTGGATCATATAGTAATTTATTTTTAATTTTTTGAGGAATTGCCATACTGTTTTCCACAGCAGTTGTATCGTTTTACATTCCCACCAGCAGTGCATACAGGGTTCGAATTTCTCCACATCTGGACAAAACTTATTTTTTTTTTTGTTTTTTATTTTTATTTTTTATAGTAGCTGTCCTAATGGGTGTGAGGTGGCATCTCATTGAGGTTTTGATTTTCATTTCCCTGATGATTAGTGATGTTGAGCGTATTTCCATGTGCTTATAAATTTTGCTTTTAATGTTGCAAAACTTTTAATCAATATTCAATTTATTTCATTCCTTTTTTTTTTTGAAATTACTTTGAGTGATCAACCCTGCAGGGTTGTTTCAAAATTATCCTTCTTGACTGTCAATGTTTCTGGATTGAGTCTGAATACTTCGACATGTTCATCTGAGGGCTTTTGTCTCATCTTCTTATCAGCTACTCAGTCTCTCTAAGCCTCTACTTTCTCAGCTGCAAAATTGATATAATAATAGTGCATTTTCTCTTGGACTGTTCTGAAAATTAAATGAGGTCATTTATGTTAAACTCAACACAGTGACAGGAATGTAGTAAGTGTTCAACAAATGTTAGCTGTTATTGTGTTATTTTATTGCTGAGATTTCTGTCACTGCTCTTATGCTGTGTCTTCAACTACTTTACATGCTTTTTGTCTGTCTAATGATCCCTAGAGTTAGTGTTTCCACTTGGCACTAAGGGAACGGCTTTTATTTCTCCCTTGTTTCATTGATCCCATGCTCAGTGATCCCAGGGGTAACTCTGATGTCTACCTCCAGAAGAAGGAATCATATGGCTGCTTAGTATCTAGATATAAGGGTCCTGAATAGGTCAGGGACAGTGATACTCCCTCATGGCAACATGATCAGCCTCCAGCCTTCTCTTTTCTTCTCATTTCTCTTCTCTCAGAATAAGCACAGTGGTTTTTTTTTTTCTGTGTGTCTGTGTGTTTTAGTTCATCTCTACTACTTTCTCAATTCTTCAGCTGATACTGTGATATAGTAGGTGAGTTTAAGAGCATTGGCAGTGGCACGGGAGGGATTGGCAGGAGTCTATGCATATATTTGTGTGTGTGTATTTAGGAGTATCTGTAAAAGACAAAGACTGAGGTTGGGAGAGAGGAAATGAATATGTTAGAGAAAGACAAGGGGTCAGTGAGACAAAGGATAACAGAGGGATTGCAGTAGGACAGAGCACAAAGCGAGGAGTGTCAGATTGGTAGAGATACCAGTGGGACTGGGGGTGGACATTTGTTAGAGATAGGAATGGGAGTGCATAGAGGGGCCAGGAAAGGCACCCTGAGGATGTGGGGGAAGAGAGACTTCTTGATTAAATGTTTGAGGGCAGATTATAGAGCCGTCAGAATCAGACTGTACCAGGGAAGGAGATATCAGTGGGTGCTATTCATGAAAATTGCTCAAGTTTTGATCATTACCTTGTCTTTGGCAAAATAAGCAAAGGTACTGGAGAAAGAATAATTCACTAATTCCATGGCTCATTTATTCAAATATTTCCTAAGTACTTACAATATGCCAGGCTCTTTGCTTAGTCCTATGAATGCCTCAGTCCCAAACTGAGGAGGACTCCTGAGCAAGGTTTCTCTTGATAATCTGGGTGTCAGGTGTGTCTAAACCTGAAATATTCTCCTCAGTGTATTTCCTGTTTTGCATTTTGTGGAGCAGATATAGACATTGGGAGAGGAAGGGGTTGTGCCTTGAAGCTGGGGTTCTTCACATTTTTGACACCACATCACAAGAACATGGCAGATGATATTTACACATGATACACCACCATATAATTACTCAAATTTGGACAAAATCCCCAAAATGCTTATAGGGGGTAAAACAAATAGGTAGGTGGACATTTTTCTTGAGATGTTTATTCATTAAAGAATATGAGTCATGGTGGTTACCAGAGGCTGGGTGATTGGAGGATTGGAGAGATGTTTTCAAAGAACACAAAATTTCAGCTGGACAGAAGGAATAATTTCAAGATGTATATTGTACATTATGGTGACTATAGTTGATAGCAATATATTGTATATTTGAAAATTGCTAAAAGAGATTTTAAATGTTTTCACCACAAAAAATAAGTATGTCAGGTAATGCTCCTGTGGGTTAGCTTGATTTAGCTATTTCAAAATGTACACACAATTAATACAAAACATATTGTTGTACACCATAAATATATACAATTATTTGTTGTCGGTTAAAAAAATAAATAATTAAAAACCATGAGTCACTGTTAAGGGTATATCAGTGAATTAAGGGAATCTCAGTGCCTCTGCAGCATAGGTAACACTGGCTTTACAATATGAAAAGATTTTACATGCTGGCTTTAAGTGCACGTGGGCAAGAGTGAGGTTATTAGAACTATAAATCTGAATAAAAACCATAATAATAGCTTTCTGAGCACTTTATATGGATTAACTCATTTAATTTTCACAATTGCCTTATGAAGTTTATTGTTATTCACATCTTACAAATGAAAAACCCGAAGCATCCAGAAGTAAAGTGACTTGCCCCAAATCATCTAGTCAGCCAGGGAAGAACTGAGAAATAAACTCAGGAAGCCTGGGTCCAGAACTTAATGTCCTCAACTACTACTGCGCTGTGTTCTTTTCACTCAGCATGGCTCCTTGCCCCTTTTCTATTGTTCTGGCTCTGTTTTTCTTGCTCAGCTGGATATTCTCTTAGAGCTCTGGGAGGTACTTTTTGTGAGACTTTGGTTGTGCCTCTTAGTGCCTGTGAGTTTTCTTTCTTCTCACCCCTAACTTTTTCCTAAATGAGCCTAGAATCCTTCAAAGGTGCTCGACAGAGAAGTAGCTGGGCTGAGAAGGAGTCCTCAGAAGCCACTGAATGAAATGAAAAGTCCTTCCTACAGACAGTGACCTACTTTCCAGAACCTCATTAACAGCTGTCCGGGCCTCACTGCCCCTCTCCCCACCCTGCCTTTGGTATCTCACTTATTGGGGTGATAAAACATCATCAGAGTTGTAGGCAGAGAGCAGTTGTTTTTATGAGGACTTATATCAAGCATATTACTGTTTTATTGACAATAAGTATGTTAATAACTGGAGGGGTTGGGAGATGTGATGAGAAAATAAATGTCCAATCAATTTCCTTCTAAGGAAAATGAATTTGTTTTCTGGAGGGGCTTTTGTTTATATAAATTTGACCCGAACATTTTAAAATAGAAGCAGAGCAATGTTACCAGTAGCCCTTCCTCTTTGTGCTTATCCCAACAAAGCTCAGCCTCTCCTTTAAGTAGAAGTTGAACAAATATTTAAAATATATGGCTTGGAGGATATCAAAGTATTAGTCTGCCTGTGTCCTTTACTTGTCTGAATCTGGCCCTGTTCCCCTCCTTGTACCCACATGGAGTCCCATTGCTCCCTCCCCACAGCCCATCATGCTCTGAGCAAGTACATTTGTGTAGAGGCAGGGGATGAACTAATAAATTGAGGATTTCATTTCTTTGCATGTCCTCTTCCCCGGGACCCTCTAACACTATCATCAGAAGACCCATTTAGTATTTATTTGGTATCTTTATACTTCAGATTCCCTCCCTACTCTCTCCATGGTCCCTTTTCTCCATGTTTCCTTCTAGATTCTAAATCACTCATTTTTCCTTAATCCTAATAGCTGACATATAGTTCAGAACTTCAGAGGGCAACAAGTTATCTGAGTGGTGAGAAAGCTAAGACAAGAAGGGTTCTGTACTTAACCCTCCTAGCACCAGGGAAACCTGACTTTTTTCTGAGGGTGGGGTGGGAAGGAGGGCTGTATTAGTGTAGTTAGTGGGGGTGGAATGTGTTGATTCCCTGTACTCAGAATAGTTTCTCTGGGAGGCTTCTACAGATAAGGATCTAGACACAATCAAGAGGAGCCACTTGTATGAAACTATTTGGAGAGAAGCATGAGACTTTCATGAAAAGCAGGTGATGAAAATTGCCCCTCTCAGTTTCATTGGCTGCCCCACTTCTCATTGCCTTTAGGGAAGATATGAATCTGGGTCAGAACAGAGAAACCCATAAATTCCTTAGGCTTCTTCTAGATTTCCACTTGGTACTCCACTTCCATGCACAGGAAACAACAGTTGCAAGTGTCCTGTGAAATGGTTAAGGTAATACCCACATAAACTTAATATGGTTAAATATAATCAAGTTAAAAAAGTTTAGCTAATACATTTTAAGTAAGGAGATATATGTGTTGTTATGAACACAGGCCATTACAAAGTGGTATGTCTTGAGGTATTTTAAGGTTAAAATTTGGGTAAACAAAAGTAGAAGGGGAGGAAAATTCAGGTAAACACAGAAAAAGCAAAATCTGGGGGAAGGCACAAATGTAAAAAGGGTAGGGGACAAATGCTATGTGTCTCAAAATGGTACAATGAGGTCAGAAAGTTAGGATGGGGCTAACCTCCGGGGCAGGGTGATTGGGGGCAGGTGCAGTTTCTGTTGGTTACTGAAACATAACTGCTACAGAATGGCTATAAGCAAATGAAGCACCAAGGGCCAGAAGCCATTCCTACACTCAAGTGAGCATTGTCTGGGAGAACATTCCCCTGGAGGGTCCAGCAATTTAGATATCCATGCTATCATTTGTGATCTTTGCACATACTTAGGGGTGCTTTCTGTTCCTATCACTTTCTTCAGACTCATCAGCTTCGGAGTCATTATAGAGAGGACCGTGAAGAACATCATGACTCACACCAACCGTACCATCTTCCACCCTGAAGTTTTTGTCCTACTTGGCATCCCTGGATTGGAAGCTTATCACATTTGGTTGTCAGTACCCCTTTGCCTCATGTATATCACTGCAGTCCTTGGGAACAGTATCCTGATAATGGTCATCATCACAGAACGTAATCTTCACGAGCCTATGTATTTCTTTCTGTCCATGTTGGCCATCACAGACATTATGCTGTCTACTACTACTGTGCCCAAGGCCCTAGCCATCTTTTGGCTCCATGCCCATGACATTGCCTTTCATGCCTGTGTCACCCAAGTCTTCTTTGTTCACATGATGTTTGTTGGCGAGTCGGCCATCCTGTTAGCCATGGCCTTTGACCGCTTTGTGGCCATTTGTGCCCCACTGCGATATACAGCAGTGCTAACATGGCCTGTCGTGGGAAGGATTGCTCTGGCTATTGTCACCCGAAGTTTCTGCATCATCTTCCCAGTGATCTTCTTGCTGAAGCGGCTGCCCTTCTGCCGAACCAACATCGTCCCCCATTCCTACTGTGAGCATATTGGAGTGGCCCGCTTAGCCTGTGCTGACATCACTGTTAACATCTGGTATGGCTTCTCAGTGCCCATTGTCATGGTCATCTTGGATGTGATTCTCATTGCTGTGTCTTACTTTCTGATCCTCCAGGCAGTGTTTCATTTACCCTCCCAGGATGCTCGGCAAAAGGCCCTCAGCACTTGTGGCTCCCATCTCTGTGTCATCCTCATGTTTTATGTTCCTTCCTTCTTTACTTTGTTGACCCATCGCTTTGGGCATAACATTCCTCGACATGTTCATATCCTGCTGGCCAATCTTTATGTGGTGGTGCCACCAATGCTCAACCCCATTGTCTATGGTGTGAAGACTAAGCAGATCCGGGACAGTATAGCCCACCGGTTCTTTGACATCAAGACTTGGTGCTGTTCCTCCCCTCTGGGAATTTCCACACCTCACTTTTGTCAAGGAAGCTAGATGTGACATGCAGAGATTTTCTGGACTGAGAGGGCTTTTTGTTCTCTTTCTTTTTCTTCTATTTCATCCTCCTCCTCCCCTCGCTTCTGTTTTTTTCTCTTCTAGCTCTTTCTCTTTGCCTCCTTCTCCCATTTCTTCATTTTCTCTATCCTCTTCACACATTCCTTTGTACAACCCCAAAGTGATAACTAAGTGTACTTGCCTCTCATATGAGCATTTGGTATCCTTAGTAGACTAGATGTACTCTAGAAGCAGAAGGAGCCAAATACCACATGAAATGAGTTTATAAACAAATGAATAAAAATAATTTTACCTTTAACATCTGAAGGGGTTCCATTTTTTAAAAAAATTCCAAAATGTGCATTAATTCTTTGTACAGAATCAAATAGCTCTTCACTCACTTCTACAATGGCCAGTGATTTTGAAAAATAGCCATACATGACTTTCAGCCATGTAGAAAACTTCAAATTTCAGTTCAACAACTGCCTTCCCTGAAAAGTCCTTCCTAATTTCTCCAGGCAAGCCAAGGCTCCTATCTTTGCATGTCTAGTGAATCTTGTACAAATCTCCAAATGTTCATAATGAATTGTAATGGGTTATTCACTTATTTGTACCCCCAACTGAATGTAAACTCCTTGAAATCAGATACATTTCACTCATATTTGTACCTTCAGTACATTATAAAATGCCCGGCACATAATAAATGTTTGAAAAATAAATGAGAGCACAATTACCTTCCAAAAGTCAGAACATGCATCTCTATGATACACTGGAATGACCAGCTAAATTAGTCCACAAAACCAGTGATTAGTCAACCAGCTCCTCACAGAGTCAGTTTGACATCATGGGGGCAAATTAGCTGTTGATCTGCATTGCTTACATATTTGCTATAACTCAGAGACCAGGGAATCGACAAAGTAGGAAGAAACAGAGTACTTTTGATTCTCTCTTCTACCTGGCTTTTGACCAGTCCCAGTATTAGGAATTATAGCACATTTTTCATGGCCAGGTTAGCAAGTTGAAATATTGTCTGGGGGTTCATGGTCTTGACCTTCATTTTTTCATCCTTTTCCAGAAAAGGTCAAGTACTGTACACTAATTTCTTCAACCACCACCTACACTACTGAGTCCCACATTTCTCTCTCTAGTCTAGAACTCTCCTTTGAGTTTTAGACACACAAATCCACCTAATAATAACTGGTTATCTCCTCCAGGTTATAGAACCCCCACTCAAGTCAACTTTTCTTTCTGTGTTCCTTTTCTTGGGAACTAGTTTATTACGTTTTCATCAGCTTCCCTAAGCTGGACTCCCTGGTCTTTCTCAACTTCTTTCCTGCAGGGCTGCTCCTCAACAAGTCATTGGTTAGTGCTCATATTGATTGTACCACTAAATAGTTATGTGGATGATAACTTTGTAGTTATGACTGCAAAGTGATGTCAGGATTCAAATCCTGTCCCCATCATTTTCCGTGCTGAACTTGTGAAATCTATTTAACGTTTTTAGTCCTCCATTTTTTTAGGTATAAAATGGGTAACTTGGAGGGTACTTTCATAGGATGTTGAGAAGATTAAATGAAATAAACCATACATACAGACATATGGTTTATATATATTAACATACATATGGTTTATATATATATATATCACTTAACATAATCCTTAGCTCATAGTATCCAAGACATTTTATTAATACTAAGTTATTGGTATTGTTATTCTTCTTTTTAACACTGCCTCTACCAATTACTTATGACTTTTATCATCTTTCACCTCAGATATTGCATTAGTTTCAACTGATTTTTAATGTTTTCAGTCTTTTACACTTCAACTTAAACTATAAAGTGACTCTAAGTTAAGCACTGTAAAGAACTGATCAAGCTGCTTTCTATCAAATGTGTTGGAGGAGTCTTCATTACTTACAGAGTGTTTTCCACAGAATATTATGTAGAAATAGATATTGGATATCAGTAGATATTTTATAAAATAGTTCCATGGTCAAATGTGTGGAAAATGCTGACCTTTTGTGAGGTATGCACATGGCCATCCAACAGAAGTTTAGAGTTTGCAGCATTTCCCACACTTCTGTGACCGTCGATATTTGTAACCATGTTCATATAAATTTTGTTGATAGCATACCAATTTACACCTCTAAAATAGTTCTGTTAGCCACAGTTTGGAAATCACAGGACTACAGAGCAAATCCTAAGCTAAGCATTAATTAAATAATCTGGTTCTAACTTACTTTCCACAGCATAGAGTTTAAGAGGAAATGATGAAATGGTGCTCCCTGAAACATCTCTTCTTTAAATTTAATTAGACAAATTATACTCAAACTAGTAGATGCCCTGGGAAGGCAATCAACATTAGGGCTAATAAAAAGCTTGAATAGTATAAAAGGGCTGGAGGAGGTATTGTAGAACCTTTCTAGCACTTATGAGAGGTAAATTAACACCAATTGCTAAACATAGAAACTGGATAAATTTCAATATTCATTTAGAAATTAATTTTATGATGCTGTCCTAAGTATTAAAATACAGGTTATACTTAAATCATTCAAAGTTTGGCATGTTCACACATGTGCACAAAGTATTTGATAGATATTTACACACTGGGAGACACAATTATGGTCTGACTTTGGAGTTTTGGCAGATCTGGGTTCAAATTCTGGCAAGTTTCCCTACTAGCTTTTTTTGGGTGCGTGTGATCCGAACCCTCGGGCGGGAGCGCCGCTGCGCTTCCCAAGCGGCGCACTATCCAGTGCGCCACCGGGCCGGCCCCAAAAGAGAGAGAGAGAGGAATTTTTTTTTTTCCTTTTTTACTGACCGGTAACAGAATCGCAACCGTCGGTGTTGCGCCCGCACCGTGCTCAGCCAGTGAGCAGCCAGTGAGCAGCCAGTGAGCAGCCAGTGAGCGGGAACCGGTCTCCACATGGGATCTGAACCCTCGGCAGGAGGGCCGCCGCACTCCCTAGCGGCGCACTCTCCAGTGTGCCACCAGGCGGGCCCCCTAACTTACTTTTTCATTACTATCTCAAAACATACCAGTATATTACATAAATAATACATTAATATAAAATATAGTAATAATAATAATTACAATAACAGCCAATGTTTATTAAGAGGTTATGCTAGGAACCACGTTGAATGCTCTGCTTCATTATCTCATTTAATCCTCATACAACCTTATTAGGTAGAGTAGTTATTATCTCTGTTTAATATACAGGGGTACCGAAAGCTCAGAGAGGATAAATAGAGTCACACATCTGGCAAATGGTAGAGTACTGATACCAATTCCTCTTTGAAGTCTTCACCAATTGCCCCAAGTCAGAGGTAATCACCTTATCCTCTGGGTCTCCACAGCAAGACCTTTATGGTTTCAACTGAATATTAATTACTCTATTTATGAAAGCACCAGAGCTTGAGTTTCATGAGGGCAGAGAATGTAGCTTACTCATTATTATAATTCATTATACTTTTAGCATCTATCATAGGGTTCAATATACACATGTATGGATTGAAATGTTGGTAAGGTTGTTGACCTCTGGACCCTGCATTGTTAAATATTATCTAATTTTATGACTGAAAATCACTCTCTCACACTCACACATCCTCCCTCTTCCCACACTTAGTTCCTTCTGATCTACTGTTTCTTCTACCTCTTCACAGGTTTCTATGTACATTCAGGTATAGCAGGTAGATGCTGGGCTTTAATATTCTACATATCGACTAGCAGTAACTTAAATCTACTCTGTGTCCCTTTGTTAGTCATAAATATGGGTCAGTTAGCAGATGCGTTATGTACACTGTGCTGCAGGAAGGACATAGCTAGATTACCCACCCTTTCTGATTCCTGAGTCAGTCAGTCTCTGGAGACTGGTTCTGCGGGGGTCTGCCTCTGTCTAATTAAACCATACACTCCCTAAAGACTTACTGGGGTAGAAGCTGTCTCCTTACCCAAGGGATTCCTGAGGACAATGTACAAATACTGTCCCATTTTACTCTAGAGTTTGCATCTGGAAGTTTCTTTCACATGTTGGGGAAGAGCTTTCTTTTCAGTTGGGGTAAGTTTCTAGGCAGGGAATACATGTTTGCATCCTGGGATTTTTAACCTTTCCTGGGATAAACTCAATAAACTGTTGATTCAGACAAGATCTTCTCAAGTCCTCTGGGTAGTGTAATATAAGTACACATTATCCGGTGTCTACATCTTGACATTTTGAACTGCTACAAGCATTTCTGCTATGCAGGGCTGGTAATAGAGTTAATTTTTTTCCAGGATGCTAAAGTAGCTAAAAAATAGTGAAATATTGAGAAGTAGGTATGTTAAAATTCACATTAGTTTAAGTTTAAATATTTTATTTATATGAAAATTAGAATTTGTTTTAATTTTACTAGCTTTAATAGGAGATACTCATCAATAATATTTAAAAAATAAATTATGGAAAAAAGCCATTAAAAATACATAAGAGCATATATAGGGGCTCCCATTTTTCCTTTTGCCTCAGGCTCCATTGTTAGATACTATATTTATTTAAAATTTTCATATTTTGTTTATTGTCAATTTTTTGCATTAATTTTCATTTAAAAAAGCATCTTTTAAAAATCGTATTTATTTTAATTACTGTTTTTGGTACCTGCTTACATTTTGCACCCAAGGTAAGTGGATCACTCATCTCACCTTAGTTCTGGCCCTAGGAGAGTCAATACCTGGAGGACTGAGATAGTCACACAAAAATGGAGCCCGTGATGATGTCTTGAATCTTTGGATAAACACGATACTAGAAACATATTCTTCAGTTACAGGGCAAAGACATTTCTCTATGTGCTCGTGCCAAAGTGGAGCTGGATTTTCTGTTACTTATAATATAAAGTGTACTGATACACAGACAGAAAAAATAATTATCTTATACATTTTAATCTTCAATTTACTTTTTTTAAAAAAACTTAACTATGTGTCTCAGTTAATATTTCTTTTCTTAATGGAAACAAAACATTCCATTGTAA